AAAATTTTGTGCATAAGCTAGTCTTACTGAGACCTTCGTCTAGGCAAAATTTTCAAACCAAAACTCAACAATAGGACTTTATCGAAAAATTGGACCGATACAGACAAAATTCATCAAAAAAGGTTAATATATCGGTCAGCACGAACCATTTGAGAAGGTATTCTAGTCTATTGAATCTGGGCGTAGATCGAGCAGCTCGAACTCGGTTCGTGTTGAACTCTGACTCGACTCAACTGTGGCACAGTCAGGCACAGGCTCGGTACATGAGTTTGGACACGAGCAAAATATGAAAAACCCCATAATAGGAGTACTCTAATGCCTTCTATTCACAGTTATAGTCAATTTACTAGAAACTTAAGTGAGAGGCGCGTATAGATCAAGAAATTGAATGCTAGTATTTCGACGTTCAATTGAATGTTTCATTGGGGATATATTGAAATTCTGGTTTTTGGAAACTCAATATATTGCTAAAGAAACATTCTTTTGAGCTGAAAATCTCAAGGCAGACCGAAATACTCTGAAATCAAATTTATTGTTCCAGAATCCATGGTGATTGTGTCCCCCCGACCACATCTTCACCTTTCCACAAAGGAAAAGTTAGATAAAATTCTATATCGATTTGAAAACAAAAAATTTTTCTACTTAACAACTCTTATACTTCTTGCATCATTTTAGACTTCTTAAAATGTATTGTCTATATAAAATAAATACTTTGTTTTTCTTTTCTTCTTTTTATTTTTAGTTTTAAAAAATTATGTATCAAAGGTTATCGAATACTTCGTCGTCAATATCGTCAAATTGTTTGTTTATTTAAATTAATGATGAATTGTGATTTAACTGAACTTAATAGTGAAGCTGATATGGCTTATCTTCGACAAACATTTGCTATTGATATTGGAGCCAATGAACAAGAAGCATGTGATCGATTTGAACAAGTTTTACTTGATTCATATAGATCAAGTTTAAAAACACGTTTCGATTGGTTTTTTCATGCACTTAATCATATTAAATCATAAAACACAATGGTCTGTAAATTCCATATAAAAATAAAACCAAAATTAAAATAATTGCATTTTTTTCCCTCAAAAAAAAATTGTACATTATATATCTTTTCTTTTTCAAATCATTTATTTTTGTATACAAAAAATTGATTCAAAACACCACTTATGTCTACATAAGGGTGGGTGTGGGATGTGGGCGTGGGTAAGAGGGAATACTAGACTCATATCCACATCCACACCCACACCCATACCCTTCATCTTAAACTGGTGACTTACAACATTTGGAAAATAAAAAGTAATAAATTCAAATGATTTGTACTCAACACTATTTTTTTATTCAGTGTTGTATTTAATTATTCTCCTCGAAAGTTATCAATATCTATTTTCAATAGGAAGTGTCGCCTTTTCGATCTTCATACTAGATAGAACACTTGTGTTTAT